TTTCTTAACCTACTAATAGTTTGTTGATCTGAAAGCAAGAGTGGGTGGGTGAGAAAAACTCTAAATCGGGTTTAGTCAATCACTGCGCTGCCCACCTGACCGCAAGATGTCACGTTCGTGACACTGGGCATTCATAGAGGAGAGGACTGGTGTCCAGCCCTGGGCACCCCAGCGCTCCCCGCTCGCCCGCCCGCCCGCCCGCAGCAGCGCTCACCGGCCCGAGCTCCGGGTTGCCAATCCGAGGATGGAGTCGCTGTGCTCCCGCGGTGGCCAAGTCCGTGTGGCAGGCTCGGCAGCACCCGGCACACTCCTGTCCCGCTGGAGATCTCCGGCTGCCCAGCTGTCCACCGAGATTTGCCCCCGCCCACGGCCCGTGGCCTCGAAGCCCGCCTCCCAGTGGGCACCTCGCCCTCCGCACGTCACGCTCGCCCAGCCAACCCCCGGCGGCGGGTGGGGCGGCGGCGAGAAAAGGAAACTGAAATCTGCGTCTGAGGTTGCGCGGCGCCGCTGGGGTGCGCCCTCCGCCTTCTGGGTTGGGATCCAGCCCCGCGGAGCCTCGCAAGACCCCTGAAGGACTCTGGGGTGCCAGAAACTCCCTCCTTCCCGGGCTCCCCACCTCCCTATTCCTGCCGGGGCTGCGCCAGGTTCGGCGGGCGCTTGCTTTGCTTTGCTTTGTGAAAGAATGGTGCACCCCAGTTCTCAGCTTTAAATAGGCCTTCTTGTCTCCCCCACCCCCACCCCAAATCACCTAAATTTTCTTCTTGTTGGGAGGCAAGCGTTCTGTTTGCTAACAGGCGGTTTGCAACGATTCAACACCATTTTCGAAGCGCCTGCTAAGACTAAGGAGCTCTGCATAGAATATTCTTAAGTCAGGCGCCCATCCAACGCAAGGGAAAACAGGTTCCCAGAGAATAAGAGCCCTGTTCTGGTCAGTGGGGCTATTCCCCTCCTGGGCGCTGCATCCAGCAACCACAGAGGCTGTTATGGGTAATCTCTAGGATACCTAGGGAACCCCAAATTTGCACACTGTAAAGGGGTCCAAGCTACCCATGCCTGTAGAGGAAGAAGATTTAGTGTAAAAGAACTTTAATAGGGTTAGTGTGTGATGAAGTTAAACTTTCAAATTAAACTGAGCCCTGGGCTGGCATCCTCCAGCAATGTTTCCTATGCCACAACTGCCCTGGATGAAGTTAAGAGTAGAAAATTCGGAGGGGAGGCATCACAAGAACAGAACCCTGGCTCCTGGAAGGCCAAAAACTGGAGGTGGGGGTAGAAAGGATTAACATAGTCGTTAAACCTGCTATAGAAATGAAAAATCCCTGGGCCCAGTACTGAATGCAGAAGAAAGTACCCCCAGGCCCAGGCCAGAGGTGGGATTTGGAGATAGGGGCCAAAGGAGAGAATTGCTGCTCCTTAGAAGTAGTTAATTTAACAAAAGTTAGCTCGACAAAGGAATGAAGCCCTCCCAAAGAGAAGGGGAGGATGAGTGCAATTTTTGCACTCCCCCCCACACACCCCACCGCTCCCCATGCTTCTTCTCCTTGTCCCCAACTTTCTCCCTTGCTGGGCAGCAGCCCACAAAGCCCGCCTATGGCCCTGTGGGTATTTCCACCAGCTTCCTCCCGTTGCAAGGTAGCAGTCCTCTGCCGGGCGGTGCATGCCTCTCAGCAAACCTGGCCATTTCGGGCAGCTCTTTCTGCCTGCTTGTTTCTATACAAGTGTCCTTTCTAATAAACCTGCCCTTTTGGATATAATTAATACCTGTGTCTTTTGGAGAAACTCGCTGCGTGCTGCTGAAAGGGGCGCTCTGGTGAGATTTTCCCAGAGGTAACCCAAGGACCCTGCCCTCCAAATCCAACACCTCTCCAAACTGACGTCACCCCCGTTGATGGAGGATAAGAATAGAAAAACTGGAAAGGAGGCGCTACATGACCTGAAATGTGGTTCTATAGCTCCACAGCCAAGAACTGGAGGTGGGGATAGAAAGGGTCAACAGCCATTCCCCCCCTCCCATAGAAACCAAGCTCCTTAGAAGCCTAAGCCTAGATCACAAACCACAAGACCCAAGCAGGTTTGTAGGTAGTGTCCTGCACAGACCTGAAGGTGAAGATATGGAGCTAGAGGACCATTGTAGAAATCCAGCCCCTTTCAAATTCTACATAATTTATTCAAAGTCAACAGCAAACAAACCACTCTAGGAAGGAGTGAGCCCCTCCCAGAGAGAAGTCTATATGAGGGTGGTCTCTGCCCTGGCCCGGGGCAGCAGTCCTCTGCCCACCTGTGATTATGCAAGTGCTTCTTCCCACCCACTCTCTCCCTCTGCAGGGCAGCAGCCTCCTGCCTGCCCATGACCTGCACCTGCCAGGGCTTCTCTATACTGACGTCCCTCAGCAGAGGCCGCTCTCCTAAGGCTGTCTGTCTGCAACCACGCAGGTCTCTCTCAGCAAGCCTGTCCCTTTTTGGGCAGCCTTTTCTGCCTCTTTGTGTCAATGCAAGTGTCCTTTAATCTTCTCTCCCTTTTATAATGAGCCCACCCTTTTGGATATAACTAACCTCTCTGTGTCATGGAGAAACTCACCCGGGAAACTCACCAGTGCTGCTGGAAGGGGAGCTCCAGTGAGACCTTTCCCAGAGTGAACCGTGGGACCCCACTCTCCAAACCCAACAACTTCAAAAAACGATATAACCATCAACAACCTAACCACCTTCAAAGAACAGCATTTGCTAACCCGGAGCTTGCTAACTGAGCAGAAAGAAACCACAAGGCAAAGGAAATTCAAATATAAAAACTAGATTCCAGTTGCTAACTTTAGCTGAAAGCCATTGACATTTGCAGACAGTCATCGACTTCTGCAGTCTGCCTGACTTCTGCTCCTTCCTCCCCTGGAAAATCCTTTCAATGTAACCTGGCTTTGCTTGTAATGTGTCGGTCTCTCATTCTTCCACAAACCCTTCGGAGCTAACTTAGATACTCCTCACCACACCACTGTACATGAGACAAGAAAGGAGAATAGTGGAGCTAAAGCCACTTCAACCTGTACCCCAGTTCAGCACTCTAGCCTGTACCCCAGTTCAGTATGGATAAATAATCTTAAAAAAGGAAAAAGAAAAGAAAGAAGTACCTGCATGGGCACAGGTGGGCAGAGGACTGCTGCCCCGGGTCAGTGCAGTGACTGTTCTGATACAGACAGGGTAAATGTCTAGCCAAACAGAGTTGGCCTGAGCAGGCCACCGAGTCCTGCCTGGGAACAGGCCACAATTCCAAGGACCCTTCTGTGGGGAACCATACCAAGGGGCAAGAGGGGCCAGGAGAGCCTGGAAGGAAAAGAGCAAACCCAAAATACAGGTCAAGACAATGTCCATCATTGTCAGCCTCCCCAGGGTCTCTCACCCACATCCCTGCCTCTTCAATGTCACCTTCCATGTCCCCAGTACAGGTGCAAGGCGGACAAGAAAGCGCAACCTTTTCACATGTCTCTGCTTCTCAGGCCGCCACCAGTCTTCCCTCCTGCGTCCTTTTCAGCTTCCCCTGCAGCTGAGCCCCACCCTTCATTAGAGGGGGCAGGGAACCGAGAACCTCTATTTTCTGTGCAGTCACACTGTTCCAGGGACGTAACAAGTCTTTTATTTTAAATCATGCTAGTATTTTTATTTGGATTGCAGTTATTTTGTTAGTACAGTTACTATGATGGGTGGATATTGACTTGCCTCCTTGTAGGGTGAATGGGAGTGACCAGGTTGTTCCTGCCCTCCTGCCATTAGCATCAATGATCGACCCCTGTGGTCTTACACGGGCCAGATGGCGGCAGCTGGGGTGCCCTGTGATGCCCACGAATGCGCAAGAGTGGGCGCAGCTGAACCAGAGACTGAGGGTATAATGGAGGTGGTGAAGTGCAGTAGAGACCAGTGAAAAGACCACGAGAGAAGGCCAGAGGGTCCAGAGAGAAAGAGGATTTGCCAGGGGCCAGGGCTGGGGGTTGGGAGTAATGGAGACAGTAAAAGTAAGGAGGCATCCCCAAGACTGACTCACACAAGGAGTTGGGGGTGGAAGGGACTAGCACAGCCGTTGACCCAACTTTGCCAATTTAGAACCAAGATCCTTAGGCTCCAATGCCTAGATTACAAAGCATCGGATCAAAGCAGATAGCAGACTGCTGTAGGTCGTGTCTGGAGCTAAGACCCAAAAGGTGAAACATGGAGATTGAGGTCTTTGTGGGAGCTCCGGTCCCTATCAGACTTTATTCAAACTCAAGCCCCAAGGAGTGAGCCCCTCCCAGAGAGAAGCTATCTATATCAGGACAGTCTCTGCACTGACCCGGGGCAGCGGTCCTCTGCCCACCTGTGTTCATGCAAGTGCTTCTTTCTTTTGTTTTTTCTTAAGATTTATTTATTTATCCATACTGAACTGGGGTACAGGCTAGCGTACTGAACTGGGGTACAGGCTAGCGTACTGAACTGGGGTACAGGCTGAAGTGGCTTTAGCTCCTTAGTGCATGCTTTAACCTGCTGTCACAAAGGAGGGCACACAGGTGATTTTTTCTACCCACTCTCCCTCTGCGGGGCAGCAGCCTCCTGCCTGCCCATGACCTGCATGTGCAGGGGCTTCTCTGCACTGACCCCTCAGGGGAAGCCGCTTTCCTAAGGCTGCCAGCCCGCAACCATGCAGGTCTCTCTCAGCAAACCTGCCCCTGTGGGGCAGCTCTTCCTGCCTACTCGTGTCTCTGCAAGTGTCTTTACTTCTCTGTCTCCTTTCCCTAATAAACCTGCTCTTTAAATATAATTAACATCTCTGTCTTGTGGAAAAACTTACCTGGGAACTCACCGCGTGCCGCTGAAAGGGGCTCCCTGGGGTAACCTTTCCCAGAGTGAACCCAGGGACCCTGCACTAACTCCAAAAAATTATCATCAGGTCTGCCAGCCTCTGGCCATCTGGCCCCCCTGCCAGTCCAGCGCCTGGCCTCCTCCTCCTCACTACAAATGGTGTAGAAAGATCATTAAAAGCCTGAAAAATCCACCGAGATTTACCTTTACCCATCTGCCTGGATCAGTAGAGAACCTGCCCTGTGCCTGCCTGGCGCTATACCCCTGAACTCCCATTTTGCCATTAAATCCTGTTATTTTTACAGCGTACAGGTTCCCTTCAGGAATGGACTCATAATGGAGGCTAGAACACCTAGTGAGCCCTAGAGCGAGTTAGGGATAATTACACAGCTTCTGGGACTGCAGGCGGGGTTGGGGGAGTTAGAAAAAAGAAGCTTCTGAGTTAAGGACAGAAATCCAGGAGGGCTAACGTGGGCAGTACATTTTATGGCTAATTAGAAGACTAAATTTTAAGAGAACTAAATTTTAAGAG